CCTTCACACATCCCGTTCTCTTTGCCCACTCCAACCTCCACCTCCCGCTTCTCTGTGAGGCGAACATCCTTCGCTTGCTTAAGTCTCATGCCAGGGGCCACTTAGTCAAGGCCTTCGCAGCTGACACAGATGTTGTATCTGCACATCCACAGCGCGTGTGTCCTGCAGAGGGCTGAATGCAGGCTTGCTGGGCCCTGAAGTTCAGACAATCTGAGGGGCACTCTTTAAGAAAAATAATACAAAATTACAAATACAGATTAAGGTATAAAAGTAGAGATTTGCCCTCATCAGTTCAGTGGATAGAGTGGCGGCCTGCAGACTGAAGGGTCCCAGGTTCTATTCCAATCAAGGGCATGTACCTTGGTTGCGGGCACATCCCCAGTGGGGGATATGCAGGAGGCAGCTGATCGATGTTTCTCCCTCATTGATGTTTCTAACACTCCCTCTCCCTTCATCTCTGTTAAAAAAAAAAAATCAATAAAATATATGTATTTTTTAAAGTAGAGATTTATCTAGAAAGGACACATACAAATGAGGAGGAATCCTGAAGCCTAAGATTTACAATAAATCACCCTCGGATGCCACCCTGTCCATCCCAGGTTCATCCCAGGTTCTGTAGGTTCACTTGTCTGTCTGTCTCTCCAGGCTGTGAGCTCCTTGGGGGACAGAGAACTCACCTGAAATGTCCTTGCATGGAAAAAGAACAATGGATGTTTGTTGACTGTCACTGAATGGACAGGCTGGGGGCGACAAAGAACACCAGTCTTTGAGTCACATCCTGGTTCTAGTGACCCCTGCCACTGACCAGGAGACAAGGAGCAAGGAGCTTAACTTCCCCGAGATGACAAGACACTAGTTGAGCGACTAATGTGTGAAGTAGCCAGAAGAGGGCCTGGTGAAGAGAGATGCTTCATCAATACTTGTTTCTCCTCCTTTTTCATACTGGGGTCTGTGTGCCTCCCATCAGTCCCACACACCCCTGGCTGAGAGGCAGGCCAGGAGATACGGCTGCCTGAGAGTACATGAACTTGGATTTCAGGGCCAAAATCAATGTAGCTAAAATAATTACCTGCCACTCGCGCGTTGAGATGATCTCATTGATCTTTGACTCTTATATTTGTCCGCAGGTCGGAAGGTCCACCTATAATGTGCCATTGGGCACCTGACCGGGGTCCAGGCCCGTAAAGAAGGATGAGGGAGTGCCGTTTCTGCTACTTAAGCCAATCGATGGTCCTGTTTGAAAGGAACCGATTTCCTTCCTTGTAAACCCAAGTACATGATAAATGAAGAACTCAGCTTCCCTGCCATGTTTATCAGAGGCGTGTGGTGTTCTGCTCTCTGAGAAAAGCCGGGTGTCTGAGAACGGGATGCGTTCAGGCTGCACCACCGCTGACCACAGCGACTCCGTCAGCTGCTCTCGGTCATCTGTCTCATGCCCACAGCAACCTTGGGGGTTCGGAAGAGCGTCTCCCTTGTAAAGATGAAGAAACACAAGAAACATCAAATTAGGTTTCAGAGCGAGCACGTGCGGGAGACAGTGTTCTAACTGTTCTCCTTCAGGCACACCACTCCCCTCTGAAGTCGTTCTTTCTGGGGAGAACTGTCCTCAAAACTTCGTTCCTGATGAGCCATTCTGCCAGCCCTCCCCACCAGCCTTTCCCATGAGAACAGATTTGGTAGAGAAAGGGACTCCTCTCCCATCAGGACCCTTGGAACCAAGGTTTGCTCCAATCACCTGTTTCTATCACCCAACCCCAAAAACTTAGAGGAAGTTCTTGGGAAACTGGGTTGGTCAACTTCCACAGGGCAAGCCCAGCAGATTCTCCCACTTGAGGTAGATTTTTTTTCAGGCATGAGTGGTCACTCCTATACCCTTGCCCCCCACGGCAAACACCCCATGGACTGAGCATGAAGTCCAGACCAGCCGCAGGCTCATGCCCTGGGGCAGCCTGCTGCAGCCCGAAGCTCTGTGTCACCTCCACCATCTTCCAGGCCTAAAGTCAGGATACCTATTAGCTCCCACCTCAGGTGGCCCCTTATTAATGGTTTCTCAGGAACTTAGCACAGGAGTCAAGACTAACACTGCAAAAATAATAATTATCCTATATAATAAAACCCTAATATGCCAACTGGCCAAACGGCAGAACGACCGGTCACTATGATGTGCACTGACCACCAGGGGGCAGATGCTCAATGCAGGAGCTGCCCCCTGGTGGTCAGTGCACTCCCACAGGGGGAGCTCAGCTCAGCCACAAGCTCACGGCTGGCAAGTGCAGTGGCAGTGGCGGGAGCCTCACCAGCCTCTGCGGCAGGGCTATGGGCCCCTGGGGAGATGTCCGACTGCTGGCTTAGACAAGGGGTCCTGGACTGTGAGAGAGCTCAGGCCGGGCTGAGGGACTCCTACCCCCAGTACACGAATGTTGTGCACCAGGCCTCTAGCAATAATAATATTGTAACAGCTATGTATGGGCCAGGGGGGTACTTGAAATATCTGAGGGACTACTCTGTAAAGTATATGGTTGTCTAACCACTATGTTGTACACCTGAAACTAATACATAGTAATACCGAATGTGAACTATAATTGGAAAAAAAGATGGAAATTGTATGTTATATGCTTTTCATCACACAATAAAAATTAAAAAAAAGAAAAAGAAAAATACAGCAATTGTGAGAGCCTTTGCCGCTCCAGAGTCCCTGGTCTATGCCTGAGCTGTGAAGTTGCTTATGTGCTGTCTTTCCTCTTCTGGGCATTTCACTTTTCAAAGTCTATTTGCCCCCGGCCTCTGTAACAAAGTCTATTTGCCCCCGGCCCCTTCGGGCAACAAATCTGAGGATACTGTGGGCTCTGACAGAGCAAATTTCCTTCTGGAAACCACTGCAGAAAGGGGACAAAGGAGGCCAAAACAAATACAAATGGTAACAGAAAACCTACCAACCCCAAGGTGTCTTTCTCCCTCCTTCCCCCCACCCCAACCCCCCTAGAGCTTCAGCCTGAGCTCATATAGGGACCCCAGGGCATCCAGGAAAGCCTGCTGCCAAAAATGTCAACGCAATTACATTCTGCCTAGCCTCGCCCACGGCTCCTCTCTCACCTGGCAATGTAATAATTACCTGACAGACTGAATGCCCTCGAGACGTGTTCAATGCTCTGTTCATGTTCCCGTGCATTCGGGACAAATGGAGAGACTATAACCGAAGTGTTGACAGTGAGCAATGACTACTTCCTGACCAAGCACTGTTCTCAGCAAAGTCTGATTCAGTCCGGGCAGAGTGAGGGGAAATTCAAGGGCACAGAGCAAATGGCAGAGCCTGGCAGATGCCCTAGACTTTTGTACACGCCTCTAGCGTTCACTGGTTCTCTCATAAGAGGCAGGCACTGTGAAGTACTTACCTAGTTTTCTCCTTAATCTGACAAAAAGGCTCCACGGAAGTGGGTCATTAACATCCCTGCTGTCGCCTGGGCTCCTCTGTGACTTGCCGTGGCTCCCACATGGCAAAGAAAAATATCCCAAAGAGGGTCTGACCAAGTTCTTAAATCGTGACTGAGTCAGCCAAAACTCAGTTGCAAGAGATAGCAAATGTCATTCCAACTAGCTTACGGAGGACTTAACAGATGATCTAACTAACTTCAGGCATAGCTAGACCCATCCTATATAATAAAACCCTAGTAGGCAAATCGACCAAATGGTGGAACAAATGGTCACTATGATGCACACTGACCATCAGAGCAGATGCTCAACACAGGAGCTGCCCCCTGGTGGTCAGTGTGCTCCCACAGGAGGAGTGCTGCTCAGTCAGAAGCCAGGCTTAGGCTCACAGCAGAAATGGCAGGAGCCTCTCCCACCTCTACAGCAGTGCTAAGGACCCCTTGGGGGTCCCAGACTGTGAGAAGACAGCACATGCTGGGCTGAGGGGATCCCCACTCTTCTCTCCCCCCCCCCCCCGCAACAGACACACACACACCCAGTGCACGAATGTCATGCACTAGGTCTCTAGTAGACTAATAAATGCTACATGGACTAACCCTGTCTCTCTTCACTGATCTTCTTATTTTCTAATATTTTTAAATTGATTTTTAGGAAGAGAGAAAGGGAGAAGGATAAAGAGAAACATCTATGAGAGAGGGACATCATTGATCATCTGTCTCCTGCATGCCCTCTACTGGGAATTGAGCCTGCAACCAGGGAATGTGCCCTGACCGGGAACTGAACTGGGGACCTCTTGGTTCCTGGGTGGATGCTCAACCGCTGAGCCACATTGACTGGGCTTCACAGATCTTTTTATCTTGGCTTGACCTGCTTCACTGTGTGTAGGAACTTTATTCTCTTCTGAAGAGGTTGCCCCAGCAAAGCAGGAAGATGGCCACGAATGGTCCCAGCCAGCGTTTTCATTTATCCCCTGATCCCGGAGGAAGGGGGAGCCTTCTCTTGCAGGATCCATGTGTGATCTCCCAGGGAGGACTGCTTCTATTCAGGTCACATCCATTCCAGATGTGATGAGAGATGCATCTCAGATGTGATGAGAGGTCCATCCCAGAAGTGAGGAGAAGTTACATCCCAGGATTGACAGAGTCCCAGGCCACATGGAGAGGGAAGTGGTGGCTCTCTGAAAGGAAGGTTGCTGGAGCAATGACCCAGGTGGCCATCAGAAACAGAATTTAAGAGAGCGAGGTGGGAATTAGATGTAATCCACCATGAACTTGGGTCAACCATGTTCATGGTGCTAATTTCCTTTTGTTTGACATGCTCCCCAAGATCTGTGATAAACCTGTGAAAATGGGACCTGAGTGACAAATGAAGATGTACCGATATGGTTTGTGTGTGTTTTTATCTTAAGGGCCAGTGATCAGGAATTTTCTTTCTAAACAAAAGTGCCTTGTTAAAACAGAGTTCCAAGAATCTATAAAACTTTTTAAGAGAACGCAACATCACCTTCTGGTGTTCTTGCCAAAAATATTCAACCCTAATCTAATCATGAAAAAAGAATCAGATAAATGCAAAAAAATATTGGTCTGCATTCTCTAAAAATGTCAATCTCATAAGAGATTAATTTTTAAAAAGCTGAGGAACCACTCCAGATGGAGACTCAAGAGTCAGGACAAATAAATACAATCTATGATTTTTTTATTAGATTCTGGATTTATTTTTTAAATTATAAATGGCATTTCCAGAAAAATTTCAGAAATTCAATCCAAAGATCTATATATTAGATAAGGATAAAGGATACTGTACCAAAATTGCATTTTCTGAGTGTCATTGTGGTTATGCAGATGAATGGTCTTGCTTAGGAGACACATGCTGAAGCATTTAGGGATAAAGAATCAGGGTGATATAACTAATTTTCAATATTCAGGGGGAAATGTATACACATATGGGGAGAGAGAGAGAGATAGGGAGAATGTGGTCAAATGTTAAGAATTGGTGAATCTTAGTGAAAAGTATATGGGTGTCCATTATATATTATACTAATCTAGAGAAAAGTTACAACTTTTATCAATATTTTAAAATTCTCCAAATAAAATATTGATGAGATAGGAAAAAATTAAGGTACAGCCTTAAAACAATCTAAAAAATTAAACACCCCACCCATAATAAATGAAGCCCAAAAAATTCAGCCATGTAAATATGAGGCCTATTATTGCCAGTTTTTTTGTTTTGTTTTGTTTTGTTTTTAATTTTTATTGAATTTATTGGGATGCTGTTAGTTAATAAAAGTTTTATAGGTTTCAGGTGTACAATTCTATAATACACCATCTGTATACTGTACTGTGTGTCCACTACCCCAAGTCCTCTCCTTCCATCACCATTTATTTACCTCTTCTACCTCCCTCCACCCTCTTTCCTCTGGTAATCACCATACTGTTGTCTGTCTACCAGATTTTTTTTTTCTTTATTAATCCCATCACCTTTTTCATCAAGCCCTCCAACCCCTCTCCCCTCTGACAGCTGTCAGTTTGGTCTCTGTGCCTATGCCTCTGTTTCTACTTTGTTTGTAAATGTTAACATAAATTAACTTACAAATGGAGTCCACATATAAGTGAAATCATATAGCACCGCAATGAGATATCACTTTACACCTGTCAGAAGGGCTGTCACCAATAAATTAACAAACAACAAGTGCTGGCAAGGATGTAGAGAAAAGAGAACCCTACTGCACTGTTGATGGGAATGCAGACTGGTGCAGTCACTGTGGAAAGCAGTATATGGAGTTTCCTCAAAAAATTAAAAATGGAACTGCCTGATGACCTAGCGATTCCGCTTCTTGGAATATATCCAAAGAAACCCAAAACATCAATGTACCTCTTTGTTCATTGCAGTGTTATTTACAATAGACAAGATTTGGAAGCAGCCACAGTGCCCATCGGTAGATGAATGGATAAAAACACAGCGGAACACTACTCAGCTGTTAAAAAAAAAAAAAAAAAAAAAAAAAAAAAAAAAAGAAGAAGAAGAAGGAAATCTTACCTTTTGCGACAACCAGGATGAATGGGCCAGGAGAATATTATGCTCAGGGAGATAAACCAGTCAGATGACAACCAAGTTTCAACAGCCAGACCTGCGAGGTCCAAATCTGTTCAAGTCCCAGTCACTGCGTTTGGCGCCACCTGGTGGCAGTGGTGTGCTTCAGCTTTAATGAGGATGGAGATTGTTCTGGGTCCCATCAGTAGTAATTCTAGGAATCTAGAATTGCTGTAAGTACAATAGTAGTAACCATTTCTTTAATCCAGTCTAGGAGTTTGGCCAGTGGCATTCTGAAAACAGAGAGACCCACACCCTCTCTATTCCTACTTCCCAAGGAAGGTTGCATGTGGTGGGCAGAGGTGAAGGCAAAGGTCCAGTCCATGTAAGGCATCCTGGCTGTGGCTTAGCTGCTCTGTGCCAATAACAAAATCACAAGCTATGGGACCCTAATGTCCATCAATACAATGGGGAAGTATTTGGAAGCGTTAGGATATCGAATCATGGCTCAGAACATGGCACCATTGAACCAGTCACATGAATGGTAAGGTAACACCGGAAATCGTGAATACGCAACAAACAATATAGTAATTATTTTATGCATTCTTTTCACTACAGTGTATCATTTAAACTAGTTCTATTAAAGAATAGGAGGGAATATATCTTTAACTTTGTATTTATGTGTGAATTTAGATGACTGTATAGTTTAAAAGTATTTTTAATATCACCTGTGCACACATGTATGTTTTGAATACCAACCTGTACACATACACATACATAGGACATCGATATATATATATTGACACACACATTCACACATTTATAGAACATAGATGGCATTCTAGCTTATTTCCTGAAAGGAAAACCGGTCCTATAGTAACACTTTCATGTGCCCTGTCCCCACTGATTGCTCTTCTTTTAATGAACAATGAAAAAACATTTACAAGCTTGAAAAACCATCAAGAGAAGAGATGAACAAGGAGTCAGCTAAACAGTCACAAGTTTAGCTTTAGATTTCTTGGTGAGCATGAGGAAAACAGCATAGGCTATTGCTTCTGGATCCTCACCAGGGTCTAGTCTGGTTGGAAGGATTCCTCAATGAGTAGAACGAACAAGAGACAAAGACTGGCAAAGTGGCAGCACCTGATGACACCAAAACAAGAAGAGGGGCATTATGAGGACATGGGTGAGAGGCCACACTCTGAAAGCCACAGGAGCACTCTGAATGGACTGGCCAGGCAAGGGGCCTAAAGCAGGAGACCAGGAAAGAGCATTCCTGAGTAACAGCTGTTGGCCACAGCTGGAATGCAGGCCAGCCAAGAGGTGAAAGGGAGTACTATTTTGAGGACCAGGGATGTAGAGAACATAGATATACCTCTTTGCACAAAAAAAGAAATCTGTGTTCATCTTTTCTATAAGAGGCACTGAGTCACATGGTGACTCTGAATTTTGTAAATGATACAGAAACATTCTTTTTATGGGTGCTTCTTCTAATTCTCCTCTACAGAAGATAAGACCCATGGTTTAAAAAAACAAAGAATGAAAACATTCTAAATGCATTTTGTAAAAATCAATAGCATTCTATGTGAGAAGCTACTGGGAATATAATGAGAAAGAGATTCCAGTTACAGTCGCAAGAAAAAGATAAGGTACTTTAAAGGAATGTGTACTACCTCTATGAAGAAATTTTATGAAGAAAACACAAAATTTTATTGGGAGAGTTAAAATACTTGATTAATGGAAAGCTGTGCTTTATTGAAAGTCTAAAAGCATATGTCAATTCTTCACCTTAGTTTTCATTCCTGATGCTATATATATTGTAGGGCCACTGCTTAGTTGATATATATTGATTTCATATTTGCTCCTCGATACTTAAACAGTGAAGAGAGGTTAATTGGTTATCCGGCCCATTGATTTTGTTTTTGCTAAAAGAATGGGTTTCATTTTCAGCAATCCTATCGGCTAATTGCAACTCATACTGTGAATGGATTCTCTAAGCTAACTTCTGTTGACGTCTAATATGTTTTCTGAGTCACACAATATTCGTGGTCATTGTAGCGCTTGGTCATGATTGCTGGATCTTGCACTTCATTCTTATTACCACACTCCCCCGAGTGTTCCAGATGTGTAGGAGGTCTCCAGGGGACACCTACCTCTCTTCCCCACACACACACCCCTTCCAGTAATTAGTAACCCTATTCTTTGCCCAGGCTCGCTCTGAGCAAGTTGAGAAATAAAATAATGAGTAAAGATAGGAACCAAAATAGTAATGTTATTTATAATAAAAGATAGTTGGTAAGGAAAAGTTTAGGGAATTAACTGAATGGATCTGCTGACTGGATTAGGCAAATTTAAGCATCAAATTTCAGGCAGAAATGAACCTGAAAAGCTCCCTTACTCACTCACCCATCCATCCACCTGCCTACCCCATGCTTCTAGGCAGGCAGGCTCCTTCCTTCCCAAAAGGAACAAGGGGAGAATTATTCAGAAATTTCACGATCAGATAGGTTACTATCTCCCCAACACGGAGTGAGGAAAGGGAGAGAGGTCAGGTGTTACACTGACTGAGACTTTTTTATGGGAAGGAAACATCAGAAGATGAGAAGAAGGGTTCCACTCTCATGAGATGCCTATTGAGAAACAATAACAAGAAATGGAAAAAACAAGGTGATAGGAATAAAAAATTTTGCCATTTGCCCTGATTTTTCTATATTTTCTAGCCGCGAGGACTTGAGCAAATAACAGTGCCTCCCCGAGCCTCTGTTTTCTCATCTGTAAAATGGAGATGATAGCTGTTCTTCTTAACTAACGCTTTTCAAGATAACGTAAAGTAAGGCAACATATAAAACTGCTGAGTATGAGGGTATGATATTAGCGGATAAAAACTTCCTCCAAATCCTGATCATCACAGGATGAAGAGTTTGTTTTCTTAATAGCTAGTTTCTTTCCCTCGGCTTTGAAGCAGGGTGGCTATTTTTAGAGTTGGTTCTAAAAATGCTCCTCCTAAGTTCCTTCCCCTTCCTTCTGTGTACGTCTTACTGTGCCTCTGAGGTGACAAGAGATTCCCCAGGGACCTCCTGGCCATGTCTGCACATTTCCTTCCCTGTGCGTTCTTGCAACCAGGGAGCAGATAAAAGCCCTGAAATGGTGTCTAACAAAGCAAATGCTGGGCTCCCAGGAGGCCTAGTGTATCCCACCCCTCACAATAGATCCTTCCTAATGGATGGGCAGGAAATCTGCTCCTCCTCCGAGGCCGTGGCTCCCTGAATAGCAGCAGCAGCTCCTTAGTTGCTAAACCAGAAACCTGAGCTTCCTTGCTGCTTCCTCCAACACCCTCTCTGTCCCAGGTGAAAGGGACAGTTATCATTTGCTGGGACATTGTTGCATTTTAAAATATCCTTCATGTCTTGTCTGATTTAATCCTTGATACAGTCTCGGGAGACGGGCCCTGTTTTTATTCCCAGTTTGATTTCACTGTTGAGGAAGGTAAGGCCCAGAGAAGTTCAGTAGCTTCCCTAAGTTCCTCACCTGGTCAGTGGTCTCACTGGCACTT